CGCACGATAATTACTACGCTACTGAGTGTATGACATCCTTCGGTTGTTGCCCGCGAGAAACTGTAACTGACAAAGATCCTTGCCTTGGGCCATGAATCCCACTGGTCCACAGTGGAAATTCCCGTGGATCGAAGGAAGCAATGGAAATTTATGGCGATAATTTCTGTTTTGTCGAGATTCGTCTTTGTTCCAACTTCGCTTTTCGAAGCGTGGGGTGCATAGATGGCGCTCTTGAATTGGCGGACTTTGACAGCAAATTAATGACGGTGTGCAATAAAACGTTGAATCGGCGACTAACAATCTTTATTGAGAAGAAATGTTTTATACTATTTTGTTTGAACATTGCTTGAAGTTTTAATATTGTTTGATTAATTAAACAATTAATTTTTGTAATATTGTTTTTTAATTATAATTATATCCGATTTTCAAATACTATTAAGATATACGCTCTTAGATTAAAGAAACAGATAATGAATATATTCTTATTTTTTAATTTGATTAACTTAAATCTATTAAATCTATTATTTTTTTTTTATTTTTATTTTTCTAATATAATACTGAGAAAGAAATATCTATTTTTCTATATTTTAATTTTTCAATTAATAAAAATGGAAAACTAAAAACTAAGATTAATCTAATTAAACAGTCTTAATTGAAAAGATTATCGTGATACACGTGGAATATGTGGGATATATTTAATCAATAATGTTTGAAAGGCTTTGAGATCGTTGCAACGATATATCTTCTAAACTTCCAGTCGACGTTCTTTGAACGCCACAAATTACTTCATTAACTGAGATACAAATTCTAGTTCATCTTGAAAGATAATTTCAGTTTTGAACGATGTGGATTACATTTACTTTGACTAGGGAAATTTAATAACTTTCAAGATGTGAGAAAAATATCGGCGGCATAGAAAGATGAAAAGAATTAATCAAATAAAATTTATTTTCTTTGTAAAATAATGAATATCAGAAATTTTAGCAATAATAACTTTTACTTATTACCTATTTGAAGATAAATATTATAAGATTAATGAAATTTTAATATTCAATTCTTGTTTTCTATTAAAGATATTAAAGACATTTTTAATATAATAGATGAACTCTAAAAAAGTTTGTGTCTTCAATGTTTCTGTTCTCTGGAAAACTAATTTATGAATCTTGTAATTATTTTCACGACAAGGTATTTTAAAGAAAAAAGTGTAATTATCGTTAGAAACATTGCGATTCTTTAAAATTTCTGAATAAAATGATTAAAATGATTTTTAATTTCATAGAAAATGTTTACAAAATTTAAACAAATTATAATAAATTCTATATAGTTTATAAAAAATATATTAAAAATACGATATAATTACTAGACAATAAATTATAAATATAATAAGATGTTTAAGATATAATATAATTTAATATATATTAATTTAACTTACTTATATATTTGCAATATTCATTCAATTCTGTGCTTAATATATCAAATGTTATAAATTATTATGATTATATAAATATATTTTTCAAATTGTATTAAATACGAACAACAAAACCACAAAATAAGAAACATTAAAATGTCTTAATTGATCCACATAATTGAAATATATAGGAATATAAACATCATAATAAGAATGTCATGAAATGTAACAATGGTTTATCTTTTATTATTCTTATTATTTTTATCTTTAAAATTTTTATTATTATTGATAACTATGAAATTGTGATAAGATAAAATAATTTTAGTTTTTTTAAGATAAAAGAAAAACATTTCAGAAATTTATAATTAACACATTAATATATAAATGTAATATATTGATTTAATTCACAGTGAATCATGATTAGACTTCTATACAAAAATCTAAGGATTTATAACACATAACTTATATTCATTATCTATATATATATGTATAATACTTATGTAATTTATCTATTTTGTATAAAATTATATATTTCCATATCATAATCTAATCACGATGTTGTTTATCAATGAAATATCTAACTAAATATCTAACTTTTCATTTCACTTAATAATGAATAATTTCATATTCAATTTCCTTGAAGAGAGAAAAAAGTCCTGTATAAAAAATTACCATTCCACACTTTTGATTTATTTTCACGCAAGAAATCACTCTCTTTCGATTCGCTTCACCCTTGATTTTCGATACACCCTGCGCATATGCGTTGACGAGCGGTAAACAGGGCATAGTTCATGCTCGAAATTACAATGCCAGCCATATGGCCGTGATCTGTGAAGGGGTCGCGTTGACTAACGGCCGATAGAGACCTATCCTGGGCCGGCCATTGGGTCGGCCAGTTTAATTGAATCGTAAATTGACATCAAACAACGATCCCGTGGAATTCATCGGGCAACGTTTATCCATGTTTATCGGCAAATTGGAAGAGTTCCTTCGGAAGACACGTGCACACGGGCCTCTAATCACGATGCCCGCAGTTCCGTGGCAACGTTTGGCGAAATTTCGGTGAACTTACACGCGCCGCTGGCAAATTTCAACGGGGCACGGCCGATTCGGCCGAGTTACATCCCGCTTCGGGGCGAGAATTTGATTATAACTCGGAGAATGCTTATCGTTTGATCGAATCGAAACTGAAACAACTTGGAAATTATTCGAGAATTGAATTCTCTGTATCGTGGTCCGATTTGGATTCGAATTTTCGGGTAAGAATAGCCCTGTACAAAATAAATGAATTTGCACAACAAAGTAAAAAAACATTTGTGATTATCTACGTTTTTGCTTGTGAATTATTGGGAGATCTTAAACCTAAGAAAGTTGAAGAGAGAGAATTGATTGCTTCACTCTATTGGTAATGTGATAGATTTTTTAATGAGATTGTAGGAAAAAATACTATGATTCAAATCATTTACGAATTCTTTGTTTTATTTAGGTTATATGATTGTAATAGAATTAGAATTAGTATAGATAAAATAATAAAATAATAGAGTGACTGTTATTGAGAGTGAAAAAAATATAATGATCGATTAGTTTGTCTGAAATACAAGTTTATATTATTTTGATAATATTCTTTTAAAAAATGAAGCACTGTCATCTTGAATGTAAATAAAATTTATTAAAAATTTCAAAATCCTTCATCATTATATCGCGAAAAACAATTATTATTATCATTATATTAAAAATATTACAAGCAAACAATATTTCATATGTTTAAATAGAATTAAGATAGAAGAATTAAGAAGTGTTATAAATTATTTTAAAAAACATCTACAAAATAAAATTGTCAATGAAAATACATTTTATTTTTTATAATTTTCAATTTTCTTAACAATTTCTCTTTTTATACATAATATGAAAATATTTTTGTGAAATTAAATCTGTAAATATAAAAAAAAGATAATAAAACACATGACAAAAGGAATTATTCGCTAATCTCTTCAAGGAGAGCACTTCATTGTATCTTATCTTTTGTATTAGCAATAAACATCTCATTGCTAAATTGTTTGATATTAATTTTTCTTTCGTGAGAAATATCTCGAAGAATTCAAATATTAAAATTTTTTCAAAATATTCTCCAAAAATTATAAAATTATAAAAAAGAAAAGAATAAAATTGTCTCACGATAAATGAATACATATCCGTGTAAACCTTTATAATAAGACGATTCTCTTTTCTCACCGAAGAGCACCCTTTGAAGGCAATTTGGTAGATTTATTAGCAACTGCTGTCGATACTTACATCGCACTACTAATTTACAAAGTTCAGTGCATTGTGCGCGAGGACAATTAAGCTTAATGGCTTCGAGTCCGGTAAGATAGTCGCAAAGAACAATGCGCCGATATCGAGCTTTCATTGTCCCTGGATGAGGACAATCCCAGGGCCAACTAATAATTAAAATAGTTCCCGTGTAACTTTCAGACCAAGTTTCGTTCGACTTTCACGAGTACACTCTTCCGTTTTACAAGGCTGGATTCTTATTAATGACTTTGTCTTAATCTCGATCCCTTTTTATTTAACGGTGATTAAAAAATCTGGTAAGAAAGTAAGGATGAGAGAATTGAAGAGAATATCGAAATTGAAAATATTTATCAAACAATTGATTCTTATTATAATAAAAAATTGTGAAATAGTTTAGTTAATCAGTATCTTTCTTTTAAAATTGGAAGGAATTTTGGATTCTAAAAAGATTAATATTTCTGGATTATAATTTATAATATTAAAATTACAATTAAGAAAGAACATTAAAAAGGAACAAGTAGAAATGAACAATCTCTAATCTAGCATTTTATATCTATACTTATTTATCCATGTATATAGTTTCCATTTTAATATATTTATTGTTTTTCAATATTATTATTTTAATCAATTTAAATATTTTTAAAAAATTTTACTTATTATATTTTAATATCTTATATTTTTACATAAAAAAATCAAATTTTTCTTCATATATAATGATCTTTATTATGAAATTTAATTCTGCCTCTCCAGGATAATATAATAGTATATATATCTGGAAAATAACGAAGTGCAAATTATTGAAATAATTGCAATTTATGGAGAACATTTATTAATACAATTAAATCAAATAAGTACACGATTTAACTCGGTATTCAAGCACCGTATGATAATTGTTTATCTGCTTTTCACCCATCGCATTCAACCACATATTACACATCATATTTACATTCACTCATCTACGATCAATTCTAATTTATCATTTCTGCATATAATAAATTCAAAAAATTACCACAACACTTTAATATTTAATAATACGTAACAAATTTTGATTTTGAAGAAATATGATCAAATAAAAAAGATCAAAATAATAATTTTTTCGAGTTTCTCTCGTACGAAACTTCGTCATTCACGTATATTCGATTATCATTATTTGAAAATGGAATTTGGAATTTGTGAATCCAATTGTCTTCGCATTTTATTCCATTTTTTATTCAAAATTATTTTCGATTTAATTTCGAATAAAAACAGTTCGTCCGTAATTTCCGATAAATTCTAAAAAATCCTCCGCTCTGTTCAACAGCCGAAACACAGCTTGGCAAACAGAGCATTTTGGAATTTCGGACGCTCCACGTCGGTGGCTACTTGCACGCGGGGGAGGAAATCCCGCATTTCGTCGGCCAGCTCCAGCAAATCTGGTTCAACGGTTACCCGTACCTGGAAATAGCGCGTAGCTCCGGAAATCATCAGGCATCTCATCAAGGTGTAACGCCGATTATTAGAGTCACAGGGAAATTCGGAAAGCGGAACCATCCAGTGCATCATCCTGTGACTTTCACGTCAAAGCACACGTTCGTTGGTTTACCTGTGTTGAAAGCGTACGTGGAAACGAACATCTATTTCCAGGTAAAATTTTTGTAAAAAAAAAAGTTAAAATTTGATACGTGAAATCTTTGATACAGGAAAAATTATTTGAATAGTTTTAAGAGATTTTTAATTAAATAATAATATTTTAATGGAAATTTTTTAATTTTAATAGATTTAAATATGATATAATAGATTTCTTATCTGGCCTCGTTTTAATCGATTAAGAGTAATCTTAGAAACAAATCGTGATTTCTCTGTACATATATTTTTCTATATATTTTTTTTTTTTTAGATTACTAGTATTTATGGATTTATGAAAAATATAAATATACGAATATCTGCTATACACATAATATAAAAGAAACATGAAATATATAATTAAAAAAATGAAACAGAATCTCTATTTTTCTAGTATAATAGTTACATATGTTTATGCAAATTTAATTTTGTATGAAGAACAATTCTCGTATCGTTGAATTAACCGGCCAATCATTTATCTAATCAACAGTCAGTTCTATAAAGGCCAGTTGAGAGTCTATTGTAACATTAAATCACTTGGTAGAAACATGTGACGATATACTCGTACATAGGAAACGGAACATCGGGGTATAATTCTTGTTGGACAGGGCTTACACCCGGAAGCTTCGAATAGAAACTAGAAACAACTGCTTCATAGTAAATTCACACAACTTTTCCCACAATCGTAAAACAAGCACACTTTCGATGTAGAAATATTCTACCAATATAGCATCGTGGAATAGATACGTGTTATCAATCGATAAGTATTTGACTTTTTTCATTTGATTGCCTTAATCAATTTTATAATAATAAATATAATATATGCATTTTCTATTTATAAATCATTTAAATAAACATTGATATATAATTATACAATTATTATATAATTATACAATTATACAATATATAATTATTATATAATTATATAAAAATTTACAAACTGTAATTTAAAATATCTTGATATAAATCCATTAAGCAAGAAATAACAATTACAATGATATTGGGAAAAATAAAAAAGCAAAATATATTACATTAAAGTATAGTATACAATTTTAATTCAGCATATAAATATTAAAAAAAAATTTCTCAACTTAAAAAGAAAAATTTATGTATTTATGTTAGTGCTATTTTCATTTCTTCTGAATTTTATAAAACCATATATGATTTACAATCAAATAAATAAAGGAACCATTACAAAAAGAAAAAAATTAACAACTTATTTAACAAAGTACTTAAGTAGTTTATAATTTCGATATTGAAAAAAAATTTATAAATTAACATTAACTATTATATTAATGAATAGTTGACAAGTTTTTTGTGACTTATAAACAAAAATATACGTTCAAACACTCGATCTCGAATCTTTCGAAAATTCAAACGTTCTGTGAAGTGCCCTATAAATATTCCACAAAGTCGGTTCCGTCCACATCGGAAAATTCGCATCACAGGGGCCACAGAGGAAATGAAATGTCAACGGTGACGCGTCCCCACAAAAGGTTAGCCCAATTAGACCTTCCCCACCCTTGCTCATGACTCGATGCACAAACTACGGATTAATCGTGGCACGTGTCACGGTGCCGCACGTAAAAACCCAATCATGCCTCGTTCTTCCATGCCAAGTGACAGACAACCTTCTCTGCCTGTCACCTTCGTAATTACAGCGGCCAGTAATTGACGGATTTCTGCTTTTTCCGCTGCCTTTCATAGGACTTCCGATCGCCTATCCCCGACCACACTTCCTCTCTCGTCCGCGCTTTGATTCTCGTGGAAAGAGCGTGATCAGTTTTCGTAATCGAAGCGAAGTTAAGTGGCATACAATCGATAACAACAACTATACTATATGTCTTGAGTACAATCGAAAATAAAATTGTATCTCAAAGATGATTGAAAAATTGTGAATTGATTCTTTATTCGATGAATTATGAACATTGATGTTACGAATCAATACATTTTTATCAATTGAATTTTCCTAATACATTTATTTACTGGCAATATTTTTATTTATTGATATTATTTATTATCATTGACGCACGATAATACGGAAAGTGATAAAGTTTTATTTATTGGATTATCCGGATACTAGTTTCTCGATATTTAAATAATTGTATACAAGTAAAAGTTGACTTATAAAATACTTAAGATAAATTTATTTTTAAGATTCTCTATTAATTTTATAAAAACGAGATTTTTCTTGCAGAAAATTTGATAAGTCGATTGATGAAAAATGATTGTAGATAATTTCTATAAAACTAGTATGAAATAAAATTTATGAATTTATTTTATTTCATTCTACATTTCATATAATAACATATACATTTAAGTACAGAAATAAGGTTACAAATTTATATGTTTTGTTTTGCCATTAACACATTTCTTTTGCCTTCCAGTTCAAAACACGCGAGGCAAATGGTTTAATTCTGTACAACGCCGGTCGTGAACGTGATTTCATCGCAGTCGAATTAGTAAACGGGCATATTCACTATGTGTTCGACCTCGGTGATGGCCCGGTCAGGATCAGAGACACTTCGAGATCCAAGCTGAACGATGGAAAGTGGCACGCGGTCAGCATCGGAAGGCCAGCTCCAAAAAGACATACTCTCGCAGTTGACGACCACGTCACCGCTGTGAATAGTCAGGGTAGCAACGAGAATCTTGACCTGGATGGAATTTTATATATCGGTGAGTGAATCGTTTGTAATAAAGGTTCTCCTTTCATAAATGTATGCTATTGAAACCAGAATTCAAACGTTCCAATATCACAAAAATACTTTGGTACTTATGGGATCAATAATAGAAAGAATAAGATGAAGTAGTTTGGTTATAAATATAAGTATATATATATATATATGTGTAGCTAAAATTATATTTTGCTTCGTTCCAATAACATTATTATAGATATTGAATTCTTCAACGACTATCATGAATTTTGCAAATTATATAACACTAAGCGAACAAGATTAAACAAGTTAAACTAAACACGAACGTGAAAACTGTAATTAATTTTACGCAATGAAATAGCAATTTATTAGTTTGTACAAGGGTTTCTACACTCTCGTTTGTGTAATAGTAGTAATATTTACCAGTGTATTAGTATCATGAGTACAGTAAGTACAGAAAATATTTGCACATCATTATATTTATCATAGCATTTAAATATTAATTAATTTAATATACATCATTTAATTTACTAGTAGATTTAATAGTACTTTCATATAACTTTCATATAATAATATAGATTAGTATGTATCATTTAAAAGTACTTAATAAAAGTACTTAATAAAGTATTTTTCTTTAACTATATAAAGTGAATACTTTGAGAGTAAATTGGTAAATAAAAGTAAATATATATGCAGATATTTTTTATAATCTATATAATAAATATAAATAAATTCTTCAATCAATTTTAATTAATTATTCATATTACGTGATTTTCCTATAATATCACTTAATTTTGTACATATTATAAATTATTCAACAAAACAAATTTATATTTCGATCAACTTTTTTCCACAGATTCTTTTAATTTTAATTTAAATTAAAATAAAGTTTAAAATATATTCTTTAACGTCATCTCCAATCGATCTTAAATAGGAATAAAAAATTTTACATATAATTCTTATTAAAATTGCTCTAATCTATTACTTTCCAATAATTCTTGCAACATAATCTTTAGAAATTTTATCATACGTTCTTACGTAATGTAAAAAATTTTAATCGATTTATCTAATTCAATTCATCAAATTTTCTCACGAAAACAACAAACATTCCGATACTTAATAAACGAACGTCTGTCCTCGATATATCAGATTTTTATATATCAGACTAACGCGTATTATTCACGCATTTGAACAATATTTACCTTACTTTTATGCCACGTGCATAAAATAACAGGAAAAAGTAAAGAAAAACTGGCGCGATATTACGTCATAAAACATAGGAATTTAATCTATAGCTATTCGCTTCAAATATAAAACGGTCGATACATTTATTCGAGCCAAGGAACGTTGCTCCGTGAAATATCTTTAACCTTCGACGAGGGTAAAAGCGTATCACGATACTTCTTCGAAGGCGAGATATTACTTTATGAATCACGGTGAATTTCGAAAATCCCCGGGAACGATAAATCGCGGCCAGCCAGAAGCGTGGAGAGATTGAGAGAGGGGCGATACATCCGGGCAGCGAGATAAAAACCGAAAGTTGAAAATCGATGAACATCCCCCCTTTCTCTCCTCCGTAATATCACGCAAGAATGAAAACATCGATTAGATATATATCGGTTTATAAAAATAGTGATGTGAGTTAGTGATATTTTCAAAAAAAAAAAATCGCTTTATCGCGTCTCATTACGTCAGCGATTGGCATTGATTCTTGGAATCATGTCTGGAAATATTGAATCGTGTTTGGCAAATTTATCACCATGAGTTTTAAAAGGGAAAGAAACGTGTTGTTTTTTCGAACACGTTTTTCCTTTCAGGACGATCTATTTTTGCTGAGAATTAAAAGAAAGAAGACAGGATGAAATTTAACCCCTTGTCTTATATCGGTATTAGATTTTAATTAAAATATATAAATAATCGGGTAATTAAGAAAATGGTTTATGGTTTTCCTTGTGGTGGAAAAGAAAAATGCAAGCAATAGATAGAAAAAAAAATTTTTATTATAAAATTTTATAATATTATTTATAATAATATATTATTTATAATAATATTATAGAAAGTTAAAATATCTTAAATAATTCTTATATGTGCTTAATAAGAAAAATATAAATACAGTAAATTATTCGAATATCTGTTATCTAGATCTATCGAAAAAAACAAATGCTTAATATATTTTATACAAATAAAATATTAGATTATACAAATTTATATTTATAGATTACATAGAATCGAAAATAATGAATATAGATTTGATTGAAAATATGATAAATGATAACAGGCGAAGAAATTATTGAAAGAATTAAACAGATTTAATAAAAATAACAATGATTCACATAATGATCATATTTTCATAAACTACGCATTCATATAATTTTCATATTTCATATGCATTCAGAAATATTCATAGCAACAAAAACAATCTTTAAATGATATGAAATACAAGAGAAAAGTAATACTGTAGAAGTATAAATATTAAAAAAATTTATAATTTATAATATCGAAGTTTTAGTCAAGAAAATGAACAATTTTCTTTCTTTCAATTTTAAAGATGATTGTTTAAATTTAACAAGGATATATATACAATAATTTAAAAGCAGAATTTCAATAAAAATAAGAATTGAAAAAACTTCATTTACAAATTTTATAATAATCTTTTAAAAAATTCTTAAATTTATTATAATTGAAGAGAGTAAATTTACACAAAAATACATAATTATAGTTTTCATTACACGCTTAATTTTAAATCTCAACAATCATTTATAGCTATTCATAGAATAGTGTTTCTCGGATTTTATAAATAATTCTTTATTTTATTATGTATTTTTATATTATAAAAGAAACAACAAAATTTTCTTGATTATCTAATATTTAAATTCATAAATTATTAAAACTGAAAGAATTTCTAGGTATATTCATGTATAAGATTCTTTATATCGTTGACAAATAAGAAGTATATTTTTATACTATTTTTTATACTATTTCTAAATTAATATATAAGAGATTTTTTAAAAAAACTTTCGTACTTTCATAGTGATAATGATAAAAGCATTCAGTTTTATCTTGAAAGTCTAATCAATTGCAGCTGTTCTTCAATTTATGAAACTGAAATGTAATAAAAATGTAATAATAACAAACAGTTTTTACGCAATATTTGCATAAAAAAACAAATAAAAGCAAATAAAATTATTATTTTAAAGAAATAAATGTTTATTCTACATTTTCATGATTGAATTGAGTTTAATGAATATCTTTCTGCACATATTATTTCATTATGATATTTAATAATTTAAAAAAAAATTATATTAGATTGTAAAAAACAAAAAGAAATTTTAGAATAGAATTTCGATGTAATAATATAAAATATATAATATAAAAATAATAAAAAAGATAAAAAATATTAAATTAGAAAGCAGAAAAATAAAAAAGCAGAAATATTAAATTAGAAGCAGAAAACTCACTAAACGACTTCTCTACACCTTCCCAAGTGATCTAATTTCTGATTCTTAGGACAGATATTGATGTCAATAATTTTTTTAGAAGGTAATGATTTAATTTTTTCATTTTTACTCCCATCCTTGATATTTTTTTTCAAATCAATATTGACTTTATTTTCTTTTATGTTCTTATCAATGTTTCCATTCTTTAATTCTATGTTGTTATCATACGTAATTATATATTCTATGCTACTCGTATATTTTTTATCCTGCGAGTCTTTTAACAATTTGAGCTCAATTTGCGGAGGTTTCAATTCTGGTGACACGATCTTCCATTTATCAGGTAATTTGTCCAACTCATCGTTGACCATAAATCTTGCCAACGTTATTGGCAATTGAACAATGAGAATAACAAAGAAACCACTTGTCAAAAATAACATATTGTTCGATCAATTTTAATATTTAAATTCGATATTTTCACCAATTATTCGAATTACTTTTATAACAAATTATAAAATTATTAATATGATCACTTTAATTATTTAAATCGCGTGTAGATAAATAAAATATTTATATTTTATCGACGAAATACTGTTTGACAAAGATTGAAATAAAAATAAAATCTTTCTGCAACTGATCACCGTCAAATAATGAACGATCTGATTCCTGACAATTTAACGAATAACATATCTGGCGTGAATAACCACAATATTCCGCTACAGATTAGATTTATACGTTTTCCATCGTGTCGTCATTTCAATGATATGACTAAGACGATAATGCGATAATACAGTGATAAGTGCAGATTATAAAAGGATCAAAAATTCGCAATTCCGATCAATCTGAATATAATTTTTGGAATTATGACATTATAATTTTCATGTTGGAATTTTATCTTATCCAATTGATTAATATGATGAATTCAAATACAAAAAAGAAATTAACAAGTGAATATAAAATTATCAATTGATAATGAGACACGGATTTTTTCACATAAATCAAAAGCATATATCGTAGAATTGATTAAAAAAAATTAAAATAATAAATTAAAAATATTATTTCAAACTAATTATTTTATCTAATTTTTATCTTTTATTAAATTTCTCATTATTCATTACATAATTTATTCTTACATGATAAGAATAATTTTATATGATAGACAATTTTTTTTTCTTCCCTGTCTTTTCCATTATCTTTTTTCCCTTTTCTTGAATTTTTATGGAATAGTTATATTCAATTTAAATAAAAAAATCTTATATGATTTTATCATCTGTTAAATAGTGTTCTTTATAAATATTATAATTAGTTATATTATAATCATATCATAATCAAAAATAATTATAATATAAAATATTCTTATTAAGTAACAAACATTAATTAGATTAAAATAATTATATAATTTAATAATTTTTTTTATATTGGTCAAATTTATTTTCTTTTTTTTTTTAATCTTTCTTTTAATCTTCATAATTTCTACAAGTATTTTCCTATATTTTAAATATCTTAAATATCTCGACGATGACTTGAAATGTTTGACATCGATTATTTCTAATCGAGACCTTCATTTAATCATCTTTGAAAAATATATTCTAATCATAAAACATCGCAAACAAAATATTCTCCTTGGATTTACAATTTAAAAATTTTGAAGTAGTCATATCTTTAATGTCATAATTTATAAATGTATATAACCGATATTTAACCACAATATTTTATCACAAATGAATAGGTTTTTATTTTTCTAAAATTCTTTCTAATTAGTTTAATTATTTCATTTTATATTTAACTTTACTTTGATCAACAGGATATAGTGGTAAAACGATACACAGAATATCTCTTTATAATAAATGTGAAATAATTTTTCATCTCACGAAAAATTTTGAAATTTATTTTAATCGTCAAAAGTACAGATTAAATTTATCGAATCATATAAATCATTAAAGTCAATTTGAAAAAAAAAGCTAAAAAAATTTTACATAAAATAAATTTTTAAAAAATTAAAAAAAAAGATGAAGAAAGAATAAACAGTTTGGCAAACACATGAGATTGTATTTTTGTTTCTTATACGTTTAGAATATCTTTAAATCGATTTTTATGAAGTCATACAAAAACTCTTTAATATATCTACTCGTTTATGTATATTTTACAATGATTTATATTTATATAAAATAAATTCAAATAATGTAAAATATAAGTATAGTGCTGATACATTTAATAATTTTATTAATCTCTTTTGAATATATCTTGAGTACAAATAATTATTAATGATACAATTTGAAATTATAAAGAATAGATATCAGTAGGTATCAAAAGAAAAATCTTTTGTTTTGCATTATTTAAAATTTTTTTTTATTTATTTATCATCATATACTTTTTACACATTATTATGATTAGGAATCCCATATGATTATATATATATATGATATTATATATATTTATTTATATTTATTTAGTGATAATAATTTTTAATTCATCTAACTCTTCAAATTAAAATATTTTATTTTTTGAATTTGTGAACATACTTTTGCAAGTATGCGAATTTATTGCTTTATTTTTTTACATTTATTATTACCAATATATTTGTAACCTGCAGGACATCTAACACCTGAAAATCCAAAAATGGTTTTGAACTGTGGCATTAAATCGGCAATTCGTGCTTCCAATGGTTGCATATTATTGCTAATAGCTTCACATTTTGATGAAGTAATTAAAAGCATAACAACAAAACTGAATAGAAGAACAGTAGTTAAATATGTTGCATTTCTTGAATAGTTCCTCATAATTCTTTAATGTTGATTTAACTTCTTAATATTTAATTTCAATTTGTCTTGTAATTCTTTGCAGAATGATTGATGTGATTATAATGTTGTTCTTGAATATTTATTCCTATTTTAATATATACAATCAACAAATTAATTTTAAATAGTAAAATAAATAATAGAAAATAGAAAATTATAATGTCCAATCATGGAAAATTTTTTTCTAAAGAATCATTCGTAGCAACTCGATTAAATTTTGATCTATGTACTTTGAAAATATTATAAGCATTTTAAGAAATAATATTTTGTAATATAGTTGATGCTTTTTTTTATTTGTATTTACATTTAAAGACAATATTTGTATTTAATAATATAACAATAAGTAAATATTTTTATCATTTTTTATACCAAAATATTATATTTTAGTGTTTAATTTAATAGCAAAGCAAAATGATACAAAAACTTGTTTTAATAGTTACTAACTTTCTTCACAATTGGACTATATAAGAAATTATTACAAAATTTACAATAAACATTAAAAAATAGTTGAAAGAAACAAACCTTGATTCAATTTAAAAGAATTAGTGTATTTTTCTTATATATGAATTTCGATTTATAAGTGATTTCCTGATATTTTATACTAATTTATATATAGTGGAACAAAACGTAATAAAGAATTTTTTAATCACGATTAAGTTTCACGAGTGATAATTTTTATAAGTCATATTTTTATGAAGTCATGTGAGAATTCTCCATATACATATACATACATATATATATATTATTACACTTATATTGGATAAGTTTCAAGATAAAAAAAATCTTTATTATGTTAGAACATATTTTAATTTTATTTTTTTATTATTTCTTCTTTCTTTTTTTTTCTTTTACATATTTTAATAAAATAAAAAAAAAAAGAAACATAAATAAACTAAATATTAAATGGTAAAAATATAAAAAAAATGTAATAATTGCATAATTTTTTTATATTTCCTTGAAATTAATTAATGATTTTCAGGATGATTATCTAAATTAATTTGGCTCGACTCGAATAATGAAGTTGAATAATTCTGAAAAATGGCATTTATGATGCAAATTAAATTTGAAAATCATAAGATTCGACGAAGCGAGACGATCACACGTCCAACTACTTGCATTGCTTTCCATTATCATAAATTCGAAATATCTCTTCGTTCAATGAAAATTATTTTGAACTACGTTATATCGTAATTAAATATAGAAATTTTAAAATAATGGTCTTTGATCAATTAATCAAGTAATTAAAAAATTTCCATGTATTTTTCTTATTTCTTTTTTTATTGATATTGAAAAAATAAGACATCTCTTAGAAAAAAGATTTTTTTCTACTTATTAGTTAAAAAGAATAAATTGTTTAATAGATTAAATTTATTGATAATCAATATGTACTAAATATATATAATTATACTGTTATCTTCTTATAAAATTAATACATGATTATAAAATAAAAAAAAAAGTTTGCAAAAATCGTACACGAATCTATAAATTTCAGTCACGATTACTTAGTACTGTTAGTACAGTTTTTTATTTTATTATTTCTGTTTATGACAAATGCACGATTAGAAAAATGTAATGGAAAAAATTTTTAGATAATTTTTAAATCTATTTTTTATTTAAATATAAATAATTATCGAATTCTTATTAAAAAATATTTCTATCATTGCTATTATATATAATATATATAAATTTGAATTAATAAAATTATTTAAATTAGATTATAACAAGCAATTAGCAGCATTTATTGTTTAAAATTGTTATAAATAAAAGATAAATTGGACATAAATTACTAAATTAGTCATAAAAAATAACTTTTATCTAATATCTCTTTTTTAGAAAAAATAATCTAAAGTCATTAAATGGAAATAAAAAAGAAATCAAAGAATCAAAACATAATCTTTGTAATAATAATTTTATAAAAATCAAATGTATTATTTATTAGAAGTATATAGAATATATTTATCTATAGAATAAAAGTCTTATCCAAGAAATTTAATTTTTTAAAATATTTATTATTTGAAAAATTATTTTATATCTTTTTTTATTACAATTATTACATTTATTATAGAATTATTTCTGAATACAGTGCCAACTATTTTTATTTTTAATTTATTTCAAATATTTACATTATTTTTATTTTATGTATCATCGTTTATATATCATGTAATTATTTTATTATACATTGATAAGAATAATTCTATACATGCACCAGTTAATATTAAATATTTTAATTTTATCTAAATTAAATTATTATATTAAAAATAACTTAATATTTAATTTATATTTAAAAAGTATTAGTAATTATATTCTCTTAGTAACAGTCAGCGCCATCTCTCTGTCAATAATCTAACTTTTAAGAAACTGAAACATGTAGCGATATTATATATCTGATTTTATTGTGTCATTTGATTTTTTATTATACATTGAATTTCCAAAATTCTTAAATAATCAAATTAATAATAAAATGAAAAATTTATACAGGATAATAAAAATATATGGGAATGATATAATGTAAATTTAAAATATATTCTATACTGGAATTTTAAAATACATTTTAAATATCTATATTCAGTAACTAATTGTTATAAATGATTGATCAAAAACTTTTATCAGATGATTCCATTTTTTAAAAAATAGAATTCTAATAAATTATCAAATTTTATTAATATATCGCTATCATCCTAAAGTAAATTTCGTCATTTTATTTTTCAACATATTTATATATTCTATATTTATATATTCTATTATTAATCTATTATTAATTTACAAATAATAAAAATATGTTTTCTTTTTATTCTTCCTCCTAAAGATTAATATTTAAATCATATTTAAATATAAGTAAAGTTCTAAATGAAAATGAAATAAATTTAATTAAACTTATTGCTAAATGTTCAAATTTTCATAAATATAAAATATAAAACCAGAATACATAAGATTAATAAAAAAAATAATTATTATAGCATTCAATAATTATATTACTTATTTATTATTTTTATATTATTTTAATAATTGCTATTATTTATCGATTATTTAATTCATTAATGATAAATGAATCATAAAATAATTGATAAACAATTTTTTAATCATGATTTTTTTCATAAATTCGCTATTATTTTCGCTAAATCGAAGTCACACAAAAACTCTTTAATATATTTATATATATTTATACTCTTTAATATATTATATATATTTATATATATATTATATCTATAATATATATATTTCTATTCGTTTATGTATATTTTACAATAAATTGATTTATATTTATATAGAATACGAATAATATAAATAATAAAATATCGATATCTAATATATTTAATAATTTTATTAATTTCTTTTGAAGATATCTCATGTATTAATAACTATTAATGATACAACCTCAAATTATAAAGAACAGCAGATATCAAAGAAAAATTAATCTTGTATATTACATTATTTAAATTTTTTTTTATTTATTTATCATCATATTTTTTACACACATTTTTTACAATTATTATAAATTTCTTTGTATTTAATAAGAAATTCTATTTATAAGAATCTGAATCCCATATTTATATGTATATATATATATTTATTTAATAATAATTATTTTTAATTCATGCAACTCTTCAATTTAAAATATCAATTTAAAATATTTTATTTTTTGAATATACTTCTTCCAAGTTCATGCAAGTTTAAGGCACTATGACTCTACATCTGTTCTTAATCAATTTAGAACCTGGAGGACATCTAGGAGGAACATCAATAATGTTTCTGGGTTGCTGGACTAAATCAGCAGCTCGTGCTTCCAATGGTTGCATATCATTGCTAATGGCTTCACATTTTGATGGAATAATTAAAAGCATAACAACAAAGCTGAATAGAAGAACAGAAGTAATTAAATTTCTTGAATAGTTCTTCATAATTCTTCTTTAATGTTGATTTAACTCTTTAATATTTCAATTTCCCGTGATTCTTTCTAAAAAGATTGATGTGATTATAATGTTGTCGAATATTTATTTTTGTTTTAATATATACAATCAACAAATTAATTTTAAATAATAAAATAATAGGAAATAGAAAATTGTAATGTCCAATCGTGGAGAATTTTTTCGTGATAATTCGATTAAATTTTGATCTATACTTTAAAAACATGAGAGTGATATATTAGCATTTTAAGAAAAAATATTTTGTAATATAATTAATGCTTTTTTTCAATTTTATTTACATTTAAAGACAATATTTGTATTTAAGAATAAAATAATAGAATAATAAATAATAATTAATAAATAATTTTATCAATTTTTGTAGCAAAATATTATATTTTAGTGTTTAATTTAAGCAAAGCAAATCACAAAATGATACAAAAACTTATTTTAATAGTTACTAACTTTCTCCATACTTGGACTATATAAAGAATTAATAAATTTTTAATAAACATTAAAAAATAGTAAAAAAAAACAAACCTTGATTCAAAAGATCCAAAAGAATTAGTATTTTTTTGAATATGAATTTCGATTTCTTGACATTTTATACTAGTATATATAATAAAATAAAACATGATAAAGAATTCTTTAGTCACGATCGAATTTTACAAATGATAATTTTTATAAGTTATATTTTTATAATATCACAGGAGAATCCTCCATTATATATATATTTTATTATTGGATAAGTACTTATATTGGATAAGTTACAAGATAAAAAAAATCTTTATTGCGTTAAAATATATATTTAATTTTATTTCTTTTTTTATTTTTTTTTTTTTTTATGTATTTTATCTTTCACAATTTACAATCACAATTTTTACAATCAAGAAAGAAAATTAATCCTTAAAATCCTTATAATCTATAAAATATCGATAAATAAAAAAAAAACATAAAAAAAACTAAATGTTAAATGATTATATAATTTTCTTATATTTTCCAAATTAATCAATGATTTTTAGGATTTCTGAATTAATTTATCTCAATTCGAATAATGAAATCAAATTATCTATCCACGTCTCTGATTCAGAATTCAACAACAAAATCATAATCTAAAAAAACAAGATATAAAAAATATAAGCGAAAACTCTTAACCAATTCTTCATAATTTTTTTTAAATATTGATTTCAATTCGTATTTTTTCTTATGTTCTTATGTATTTCCAATAATAAACATTAATAAAGAATAAAATAGGAATGAAGATACTGACTATTTCTGTAATTATCTATTATATCTTATAATTAATTAGATTAATTTCAAAAAGCATAGTAAAAATAAAATCAAACTTAGAATAATATAAAATTATCTATAGATTCTTTTATTTATTATCTGATAGATTCTAGGTAATTGGCCAATGTTTTTAATAATTTTTAACTATTAATAAAATTCAACGAAAAATTTTTTTTATCAAAGAAAAAGTTACTTGAAATTATCTCAAGAATCTATATTTCCACATTTTTAGGATGCTCTATATTTATTATATATCAATTATCTATCTATCAATAAAATTTTTGATTATTAAATATAAATAAATCAGAATAAATATAATTATATATATATTTCTGCAAATAATTTTTGATTTATAAATATATATGCTCTTAAATATATACAATGTGTATAATTCTTAAATACTTTATGTTAACTAATTCATTATTTACTTGTTCTGCTTCTTATATAACTTGCCATTAATCAATAGAACGTAAAAATAATCAAACAATTGGTAATAAATTCATTTTTTGTCATGAACTAAACTTATGATTTTTTAACATTCAAAATTTAATAACGAAAATAAATAAATTTTGTTGTGGATAAATGAAAAAAAAAACTATAACTATCATATAATGATTTTTAAATTATCACGTGACTGAAAAATGCATCCATGATGCGAATTAAATCGAAAATCATAGAATTCGACGAACTGAGACGATCCGATTATTCGCATTGTTTTTTATTGCCATAAATTCGAGATATCTCGTTCATTCAATGAAAATTATTTTGAACTGCGTTATATTGTAATTAAATATGGGAATTTTTAAATGTTCTATGTTTCGATCAGTTAAAGTAATTAAAATTTCCATATATTTTTTTATTAATGCATATTGAAAAAAGAAGATAAAATCTCTTAGAAAAAAGATTCTTTCTACTTATTGTATAATTAAAAAGAGTAAATTGTTTAATAGATTAAATTTATCGATAGCCAGTATATATTAAATATATACTATTATCGTTTTGTAAAACTAATACATGACTATAAAAAAAAACTATTTACAAAAATGTATACGAAGCTATAAATTTCGGTCACGATTACTTAGAATAGTTTATGAAAATATTTTTTATTTTATTATTTTTGTTTATGACAAATACACGATTAAAAAAATGTAATAGAAAAAATTTTTAGACAAATCTTATATAAGTATAAATAATTATCGAATTCTTATTAAAATATTTATATTGCTACATAAATTTGAATTAATAAAATTATTTAAATTTGATTATAACAAGCGATTAGCAATAAATTTATTTATTATTAAAATTGTTATAAATAAAAGATAAATTGGATATCGATTATTAAATTAGTCATAAAAAATAGCTTTTATCTAATATCTCTTTTTTAAAAAAAATAATCTAAAGTCATTAATAGAATGGAAATAAAAAAGAAATCAAAGAATCAAAACATAATCTTTATAATAATAATTTTATAAAAATCAAATATATTATTTGTTAGAAGTATATAGAAGTATATATTTATCTATAGAATAAAGGCCTTATCCAAATATATCATAAATAATATTCTTCACAGAAATATATTTATTATTTAAAAAATTATTTTGTATCTTTATCTTTTTTCACAATATTATTTCTGAATATAAATGCCAACTATTTCAAGTATTTTTATTTTTAATTTATTTCAAATATTTACATTATTTTTATTCTACATATCATTATTACATAATTATTCATTATTATTTTACATATAATTCTATATATTTAATAATTAACATTGAATCTTTTAATTTCATGCCTATATCTTAAACAGGCAAATATATCTTATATCAAATATTCCTGCGATTAATTGTTAAATTTACTATTTTTTTAAATTTTAATTGAATAACTTAGCTATAAAGATACTATAAGATTCTATATATTTTTATTCGTAATTATACTTTATTATAAGAAAAATTTAGTCGTTAAAAAATTTTTTATATAATGTGTCATTTATTTTATATTATATATAATATTATTAAAAAATAATCTTTTTCTGTTCTTCTCTCTTAAATTATTTTAATAAATAAAGAAAAAAAGAAAATCACAATTTCCATTCAACTGACACAATATTTATCCAATTCCAGGTGGTGTGGAGAAATCACAGTATGGTCAACTACCGAAACAAATACTCAGCAAACATGGTTTCGAGGGATGTCTCGCATCGTTGGATCTTAGTGGCGAGAGCACCAACCTGATTTCCGACGCGGTGGTCCCTAGCTCTTTAGTAGAATCCGGTTGCGATATGTATGCCAATCTGCATCCTGGCAAAAAGTGTACACACGATGTGTGCTCGAATCATGGCACGTGCGTCCAACAATGGAACAGTTATACATGCGATTGTGACATGACCAGTTTCACAGGGCCAACATGTAACGAAGGTAAAAAACAAAATGCATATTTCATGCATACATAGATCGATTATCTTTGATTGATTACAGTACTATTGGTTAGAGTACAATCAGTTACAAAGATGTATATCTTTTTGTATTTTTTGTATATCTTGTGAGATCAACCAAGAAATCATGTTAATGAAATCAAAAAAAATTTGATTTCTTATGAAATTTTAGTTTAAAGTAATTTTAGTTAGAGTTTATAATATATAAATAGCTTGTGAGCTTATAATATAATATATAATATATAAATTATATATGTCAATTATAAATGTCTATGTGATATTTTGATGCGAACTGTATTACTATTGAAATGAGGAAAAATTTTGAATTAAAATAAAATTTAAAATGAATAGGATAGATAAGAGCAATTTTTTTTAAGAAAATATTATTTTAAGAACATGAAGAAGTTTGTTCTTTTTATTTTTTTAAATGGAAATTTGTAATACTGCAAAATAAAGCAAAATTTTTAATATATAAAATGTTCAGATTTTAATCTATGATTCATTAATAATAAAAAATGCTAAAATTTTTGAATCGAACTTGAAAATTAAGAATTAAGAATTCTCCATAAAAATTATGTTTTACATATACATAAATAATTGTTGAAATAAAACTTTTCATATTAAGTGAGTTTTTGTTATAAAATATTATATAAAAGTTTTTGTGATTGTATTTTTATGAATAGAAAAATCATTGCCATGAATAGAAAACGAATAATCCTACTTGCAAACATATATTTGTATTTGTTCTTGTTTTTATTCAAGAGTTTTAACTCATTTTTTATTCTATCTTTTGTTTATAGAGTGGAGATACATTTATTTTATTTGTTTATTTATCAAATATATAATGAAAGTTTTGTAATTTATTGTTATAGATAGAAGTTATTGTTATTTTATTTTATATTTTTTATTTTATTTATTTTATATATTATAGTAAATACAAATATCATTCACATGCATTTTAATTCTTTTCAATATTTTAGATATATTTTTTAAAAATTCAAGATTGCTTGTTAAGATATATAAATATTTTATTAACTGTTATATCTTTAAAAAAATATCGAAAAGTTCAATTTCTAAATTTAAATTTTTCGATTTTCTATTTATTTTATTAAAAACATTTTTGATATAATAATGCAGTATTGAAATTTTACGAGTATAGTTATATTTTATGATGTAACTTGTTTTGTTGTTACGCACAGCAGGTGCGCTGCATCTGTGCTTTTTTCATAAAAAAGAATAGATTGATTCATCTTTTTAAAATATATTAAATTTGTATCATACTGGCAAAAATAAAATAACAAATCAATTCTAAAACTAATTCTAAAACTAATAATGATTTTTATAAATATATTTTATGTCTCAAAGGTTTTTGAAATTAATAGCTTTTTTCGATGTTTTATTTTATTATAAAAAATTCTTGTGTATGAAAAGTATTTCATATTTTACATCATTTCAGGATTGCGTGACGAAACGAAATATAGTTACCTATTTTGTGAAATATTCTGTATCTGATTACTTAAATTTAGAGCACTCAAGTTGAGTAATGATTCAACGCTATTACTGTAAAAAATATATATTACGTACTGAATATTTTAAGAAAAAATAACATATTTACAAAATATTTTGTTTTATTGTATAACGTTAATTTTGTTTAATAACGTTAAAGCAATCCTTATGATAGTTTAATGCATAAATAAATAAAATATAATGCATAAGTAAATAAAATTTCTTCTTTTTCTTTTGAAATATCTTTTTTGTTTTTAAAAATATCGTTTAATAAATTGTTTTCAGAATCTATTTTAAATTAATTCAAGTTTAATTTATTAAATCAGAAATTTTTAATTATATTATAGAGATTATATTCATTTGTATTATTTTCAATTGAATATTATAGATTAAATAATTTGATTTTTGATTATTTATTAACAAAAATTATTAATTAAAAAAATATTCAATGCAATAAATATTTTAATGTATTAAACATTCGGTATCATATAATTTTTAAATGCATCAATTTTTTGCATTTAAAAATTATTAATAATATAATTATTAATAATAATTATTAATAATAATAATTATTAATAAATTAATATTATAAATGCTAAAAAGGAAAAAAAAAAAGAAGAAAGAAAAAAACATTTTAAGCTTTTAAAGTTTCTAAAATTTTTTTTGATTGATTTAATTCTAAGCTTTTTTAATTTAACACATGCAATTGTTTTGTTACAGAAGCGGCGGCTTATGAATTCGGACCAGGAAAAGGAATCATCACGTACACCTTTCCGCCAAATCAAAGACCGGAAATGAAGAAAGACACCGTAGCTTTGGGCTTTGTAACAAGCGTAAACGATGCTGTACTCGTCAGAATAGAATCTGCTTCGAGCGACGACTATCTTGAGATTGAAATTGTTAGTAGGATAATTTGGATCGTAGTTTATAAGCTAATTATAATTTTGTCACGTTGGTTTTCATTAAAGATAAGAAAGATTTCATTAAAATTTTACATGTAAATTCTATCGATTATATGTTAATTATATTATGTAAAATTCTAAGTTCTGCTTGAATATATTATTTCATGTTGAATATTCATCTGGAATATGTTATGCAATTTCTTATATAATAAAATATTATTATAGTATAATATTTAAATATGAAAATAGCTCAAAAGAGATGTTATATGTATAATTTTATATGTGAAAATATTTTATAAAGATTATTAACAACAAAGCAATATGGAAGATACTTGATGCATTTGAATATATAAATTTAAATTGTTATTGACAATTTTAAATTATTACTAAGTAAAAAAAAATATTTTCAACTATAGATTATTTTACAAAACATATATAATACATGGAAATTATATTAAACAAATTTAAGAATATTAAATGAATTATTTTATTGATTTAAATAAATATAATTTAATTATTTATATATTGAATGTTATTTAATCAATTAATTATTAAATTTAGAATTATATACTTTTTATCAA